GATCCTTACCCAGAAGCTCACTTCAAAGAGACATTCTGAGTCTGTTTCCTCAGATCTCCAGAGTGATAAGAAATCTTAGAACCCCCCCTTCTCTAGCCAGCAAGTTTGTAGGGGGGCCCTGGTCTTCAGGCAAGACTCACTAACTCACTCACTACCATGGAGTCCATGCCAACTCATCGTGACTCTACTGGACAGGATGGAAGTGCCCCGGTGAGTCCCACAGACCAAACAGCTGGAGGTCTCATCTCTAAAGATTTCTAGGGGAGAGGAGGGGTGGAATAACACACAGGTATGTGTAGTATTAAATAAAAAATTGGCACTGGGGAGTGGGGTGCCAGCCCCCACCCACTGCTACTACTATTACTACTACTCGGATTCAGTAATACTACTTCTGGGTTCAGTAATGCACAATTGTACGGTTGAGATATATAAGCGTTATATTAAAGTCATCGAGAGCATGAGAGATAATACAATAATACAGTCAGACATGTTACATGGTACCATTGCTCACCTCAGCCCAGCTTGGTGGTCCACGTAGAGAGAGGGGGAAGGGAAGGAGGGTAAGGGAACAAGGAGGAGGGGAGAGACCAGGGCGTGAGCAGCAAGGAGGTCAGAGTCTGAGAGAGAGCTATATTGCTGACTCACACCTATATACCTTTTGGGGGCAAGCCAGCCCACTAATTACAGGTAGAGACATACGTCACAGGGAGGAGCTGCACTATAGGTTACACAGCAATGAGAGGGTGGTCTAGGGGGTGGTCTCTGGGTCTGCATAGGAACATTATCAGTAGGGTGCAAACCTCTCCTACAGGAGCCTGTCCATTGTCCCCAGAGGCAGGGAGCAGGCTCACCCCTGTGGAGGGATGAGACAGCAGTCTGGCAACTGATTGCCCTCAGTGGGGGGATGCCTGCTCATCTGACCTCCCCCCACAGGTATGCACATGGTTTTAGTACCTCATAAGCCTACTTAGGGGGGTGGCTTCCCTGAGGTCTAACCTACATCCCGCCTGCTGCACTGGAAACCCATTACTGAAATAGACTATCCAAGAGCTAAACTCTCTTCCAGCACTCTTCTGAGAAAGACACATCACCATCAAGTCAACCTGCAACCTTCTGTCCTCCGGGCAAACTCACCTCGCTTCCTTCTTTGGCCTTAGACAGTTGAAGCTCCTCCCAAGTGACAGTCACATTCTTCTCAGCTCTTGGGCCTGTTATGGGCCACCACCCTCCGATAAGACAAAACCCAGCCTGATGCTGTGCAGTTGGATCCGAGGCCATGGCGAGACCCTATGTGTTAACAGTAGAACTGACCTCCGTGGCCTTTTCCTAGTGGTCAGCAGTCCTCCAACTTCCTCGGGCCTCGACCCTCTCTTACAGTTCCTCCTGTGGTGGTGACCCCCCAACCATAACATTATTTTCGTTGCTACTTCATCACTGTCATGTTGCTACTGTGATGAATCGGGCGACCCCTGTGAAAGGGTCGTTCGACCCCCAGGTTGAGAGCTGCTGTTAGTGGTCATCATTTCAGAAGCCGCTACTGGATGCAGTGAACCACCGATTTTCAGTGGCATAATGGGTTACAAGTTGGGCCGCTAACCACAAGAGCAGTGGTTCATATCCACCAGCCTCTCCCAGGGGGAAAGATGAGGCTTTCTGTCCCATAAAGATTTTCAGCCTCAGAGAGTCAAAAGGGAGTTTGGACTCTGTCTTATAGGGCTGTCATGGGTCAGAACCAACTAGATGACAGTTGAGTTTGGGCTTTGGGTTTTTCAGTCGAGCAAAACCCTTTGCACCATCCAGTGACCCTCCAGTTTAGCTAATACAAACTGTCCATATCAAAGCCCCTGGCTTGTGCCAACAGTCTATGCCCAGAAGCACCTCGGAAGAAAAGCCTGGAGACCTACTGACAAGTACAGTCAGCCATTGAAAACCGTTGGAGCACAGTTCCACTCTGACACGCGTGGGTTGCCGTGACCAAGTACAGTCAGCCATTGAAAACCATTGGAGCACGGTTCTACTCTGACACGCGTGGGTTGCCATGAGTCATAGCTGGCACTACAGTAACTAGTTTTTTAAACTATCTAGACCAGGCGTCCTCAAATTACAGCCTGCGGGCCACATGCGGCCCACCGAGGACATTTATCCAGCCCACCGGGTGTTTTTGCCCCGTTTGTTTTTTTACTTCAAAATAAGATATGTGCAGTGTGCATAGGAATTTGTTCATAGTTCTTTTGAAAACTATAGTCTGGCCCTCCAACGGGTCTGAGGGACAGTGAACTGGCCCCCTGTTTAAAGTGTTTGAGGACCCCTGGTCTGTCTATACTGTATCTTGAGCCCTTGTGGTGTAGTGGTTAGGCCTTGGGCTGTGATCCGCAAGATCGGCAGTTTGAAACCACCAGCCACTCTGTGGGAGAAGGAAGGGGCTTTCCACTCCCGCAAAGAAACTCACAGGGGCAATTCTACCCTGTCCTATAAGGTCGCTATGAGTCGGCATCAGGTGTTTTGGATAGTCCCTCTTTCCACGTCGCGGAGGCTCACCTGGACCCACGGTCACGTCTGTCTAAGACTCAAATTGCATCCCCCTGGGTCTCCGACACCAGTCTCCCCCTTTGCCGCACGACCCCCTAATTTTTCAGTTTATTGAGGCTAAGAAATGAAAAAACTGGGTCAGAGTTGTGATCCAGTGGATTGCCTCTGCGTTCCCTTCTTTTCCGGCCTGGCTCGCCTCCCACCCCACCCCCAATCTATTTTTAGCTCGCCTCTGTTTTCCATGGTCTGGTTGGCAACCACTGCAGGCCCTCTTTCTCTCCACTTCCCTTATCTCTCCCCTGCAGCCCGCACAGACCCCAGCTGCCCTCCCAGAAGTCCCTGCCTGCCCAATCGATTTGGGTTCCCATCCATTCTGAAGGGACGGAGGGTTACCTGGAAGGCGATGCTGGCCACGCTGGCACGGAAGAGAAGCCGGAGCTGATGCTGGTTGGTCTGTTTGAGCAAACCCTTCTTCTCGACTGACCCGCACCTCTTCTGCAAGGATGTTCCCTCTCCTCCCAGACTCGGGATCCCCCACATCTCCTCTTCCCCGCTATCTTCCAGCCTCACCCCCACCTAAGAAATGCTCCCTTCCTCCTATTTGGCCGTGCTGGCCCCGTTTCCTTTGGCTTTGAGGGGGGAAGCCCGGGCCGGCACATCACCTCTCTTTGACTCTCCCAGCTCCTTGGCTCCTCTGGGCTCCTGGGTGACCCCTCCTACAGAGACTTCCTCACCCTCTGCCCCTTGAGCACTCTCTGTTCCTAGGACACAGCAGTCTCCTTTGGAAAGGGCCTGAGCCAGCTCAGGCAGGGCTTGCCAGACGTCCCCCCACTTGTCCTGTAGACATTGGTCCCCTCCTCTAGCTGTCACCGACTAGCTGAATCTGGCTGGATATTTTGGAAGGGGGGTGCTGCAGCTGGCTGGGGGAGGAGGGGGCCACAGAGAACAAGAGCTGCACCAGGGGCCACCTGCGAGCAGGAGGGGTCCCCAACTCTGTTCTTCCACTGAGCCTCCTCGTGCCTTTAGAACGTTAGAACACCCTTTCCCATGCACCCCGGAGCCCCCAGCGGCCTAGTGGTTACTCATTGGCCTACCCACCACAAGGTCAGCCGTTTGAAACCACCAGCTGCTCCGTGAGAGAAAGATGAGGCTTTCTCTTCTCCTAAAGAGTGACAGTCTCAGACACCCATGGGGCAGTTCGACTCTGTCCTATGGGGTCGCTGTGAGTCAGAACTGGTTCGATGGCAGGGAGTCTGGGTTTGACTGGTTTAACATGCATCCAGGTGTCTGCATGATTCACTCTCCCTCTTCCTCCAAATTGACTCAAGAACCCCCACTTCCAAGAGCCCTACTAGATGGGAGATGACCTCCCCCATCTAAAATTGCAGCCCCTATCCCAGAATTCCCTATCCCCCCTCCCTGCTTTGGTTCTTCTCCCCATAGCACTTAGCACATTCCAGGAGCCGATATAATCCACGTACAGGTGCTGCTTCTGTGTCTTCTTCGCCCTAGCCGTTCAGCTCCATAAAGCGGGCTTTGCCTCTGTTTTCTTACCTGATACACCGCCCTGCCCCGGCACACTGCGTGGCGGGTAGCCGAGGCTTCATGAGTGGATGAAGGATCTTCTTTCATACACACCCCACCACCACCACCACACCACACCATAGAGTTGATCAGCACAAGTCTTCCCATTTCACAGATGGGAACAAGCCTGACAAGGAGAGAACCTTTTGAGGTCCCCCAGGAAGCAGACATGGCCGGTGGCTGACAAGTTCGGCTAGATCTTGATAATTCACTAGACCGAGCAGTGCTAAGCCTTGAAGGACGAAGGCAAGGAAGAGTCCTCTTCCCTGGGTTGCATGTCCATTGGGAATGTTTCCTCTTATTCCCATTTTCCACTCATCACTCCTCAGGGACTCCTCCAAACATCCCCACCCCACCCACTCCTGGTTTTTCTCTTCCCCCAGAATTTTAGCTCCTGTTCTCTCGGGTCCAACTGGACTAACCTGCCTGGGTTTTAGCAGAGATAGTCAGCCCGGCCTGGGTCCCTGGTCACACCCATCACCTCCCACCCACCCACCCCGCCACCCCGGGGTAGTTATGAGCCTGTTCTTTTCCAAAGCAATTAGTGCAAGGAGACCAGCCGACTCGGAGCTAATGCCGTTTCATTAAGTGGGAGCAATCCTAATGATAATAAAATGGCACATTTAACATTCAAACATTGAACAGGGTTTCTAAGCGAGTGTGTCTCTCTCTTTCTGGTATAACAGCTCCATCTTCATAAAGACCTGACAATACACCTTAATGAGAGACCGGGGAGCCGAGCATCTTTACAGAGAGAGGATGAGGAGGAGACAAAGGCTTCCGAGACAGGGAGCACCGTGCCTGGAAGAAATAAAGACTCCAGGAATTCCTGGGGAAATGGCTTCTGTGGTGCTGAGTTAGACAATTAGAGGCTGTAAGAAACAAGGTCACATGGCAAAGGAAGCCCACCACAGACATTATTTATTCATTTGTTTGTTCAACAAATTTTGTTCGGCAAACATTTATTGTGCATCTAAGATGAGTCAGATTTTACGGGATTCTGTGCTGGAGGAAGGCTCTAATTTTAGGAAAGGCGGCTTCAAGGGCAGGGACGATCCACTAGCAATCTTTGTATTTACCTTCCCTGGGGGCAGATTTAGTCAATTCCATCTCAAGTTCATCACATGTCCCCGGGAAGAGCATTTTTACAACTGCCTTGGTCTCTGAGCCAATGCCTTTTGTGCCCGCTCTCAACCGAGCCGTTCTCTCAGAGATCCTTACTGTTCTGTGATTAAAAAATATGGGGTTGGCCATCTGGTGCAAGAAAAGAGTGGGGCTGGGAACTGGCCGGGGACAGTAAAGGGGCCAGAGGCTACTCAAGCGGGGCCAAAGAAAGGCTTCCATCTGAACGTTTGTCCACAAGTTCCTTCATCTGAGACCTCTTCCCTGGCCTCGGGCTTCATTCCCACACCTAGTGCACACAAGGGGAGCCACTGGCCAAGGGTCAACGCTGAGTGTTGCCAAGACCAGGGAAGCGGTTGATTCGAAAAGGGGTCAAGTCATAGGATGGTGTCGATTTCATGCTTAATTCACACAGGATCTTGCCCACCACCGGGGACAGCTTGAATCCGTGCCCTGGCAAGAGGAGAAGAGGTTGTCACACATCTTCAGCGACAAAGAGGCGGGGCTACTTGGAAGTCCCTCCTGCCCAGCTAGAACTAACTCCTCTCTAGGTTGCACCCCGAAGCCAGAAGTTGCCTCCCACCATGCACGATCCTTCTCCAAGTGTCCAGACCCCATACACACTCTAGGTTCCAGGACCTAGCTAGCCAGCCCAGAGCCTGGAAACTGCCGTCGTGCCTGACACAAAGGAGATGGCTCAGCTGTAAGGTGGCCCCGTTCCCCTCCTCAGGCTCACCAGAGAATCCAGCTCCGATGACAATGTTGTCATACTTTGGGTGGCGATCGAGAATGAAGTGCTCATCAGGAGTGTTCTAGAAAGACACAATCACACCTGGGTCCTTTGAGGATAGAGGGAGGAGACAGGTACAGGCTCTGAAGGAAGGGGACTGGTCTAGACTTCTTTCCAGGGTCTTGGGGGGGGGGGGGCCGCGGTGTGAGGAAGAGGCCCAGAAAGGTTCTCCACATGCCAAGCAAGGCCTTGCCCCTTGGGTTCGCCCCTCTTTCTCATGGGTCCGTCTGCCTCTCTCCTCAGACAGAGCCAGGAACACAGTAGGTGCTCAGTTCCTGCTTGTAAACTAGCTTTAGCCAAGATGCCTCGGGCCCTGGTGACATCTGTCTCTTCCCTCTTTCCCCCAAGGCCCACTTAACTGTCACATCTTGCCAGAAGATCTTTTAGAGCTCTTCTGGGAAATGCAGTGCCGGATTGCCAGGCGTAAGCCTAGTTCCTTAATGAAAAAGACGATGAATAATCCCTAATGGGCCCCTCTCAGGTGGGTGTGAGCAGAACCTCAGGAATGAGCTCGCTTGTGGAGGTCCCAGGCTAGGCTAGGGGTCAAACAGAGCCTGGCCTGACCGACACACAGCGTGTCTACTTCCCTGGCCTGACTTTTCTGCGGGACCCTGCGAGGACCTGTACCGTGTACATGCAGCGTTCCGTGATGGCAGGTGTAGGTTCTAGGTCAGGTAAGTGATCGCGGACAAAGCGGCCCAGGATTTGGATGTCTTGGCTATCCGAGAGCGCCGAAGGGCAGTCCCGCTCCTCGGGATCTGCATTGTTGCCGTGGTGATAGCAGACCTGGCTTCCAATCAGAGTCGAGTGAGCCGTGAGGGCCGGGCCTTCCATGCAGACCCACCCAGCCGAGGACCTGGGTTAGGCTTGCACACAGCATCCCCCATCCATCATCCCAGCCTTCCCCAGTTCTGAAGGATGCTGTGTGCTGCCGTAGGAGGTCGCATTGCTGTCCACACGGCCCCTTCTCCTCCTGCACCCCCCCCACCACCACCACACACACACTATGTTTAGGAAGGCAAGCCCCTCCAAAGGAGGGCTTCCTTTGCTGGGACAGTTGAGGGGCTTGTGTTGCAAACACTGAATAGTGGAGCAGGCTTCTGCTGCTCCCTTGTGTGGTTTTAGGGGGTCTGGGGAAAACGAAAGCAGCTAGCCCATGTCTGTGTGGGCACCTCCTTTTGCCTTCCCTTGCCCTTCCTGTTCACCTTCATCATCCCTGGGTACTCTCCCGCAGGCAGCCCGTAGATGTGGTGAGGAGCCTGGTCCAGACCCAGGCCCAGGAAGCATGGGAAGGCTTGGGCCACACCATAGCTCCCAGGAACCTTCTCACGCCAGTAGCACACGTTGATCCGCAGGGTCTTGGAGCAGGCAGAGGAAGTGAGAAATGAAGAGGCTAGGTCACAGAATTCTCTAGACCAGGAGGGCGTGTCCTCCTGAGGTACTGCAGCCCTTTAATAAGTCTGATGTCCACCTTCCCTCAGGCCTCCTGGCTTCCTCTAATTCTCAAGACATTCACACATTCCGTGCTTTACTTTGCAATGCACAAAATTCTCCCCTCTCTCGCTCTCTCTCTCTTCTCCCAGAGACTGTGCCCCAGCCCGTGTGCCTCTCTCTCCAGGAGTTAATAACACACTTACAGAGCGCTTGGTATTGGCCAAAGTCCCTTGGTGGTGCAATCAGGTCATGAATCAGGTCATGAGCTTGGCTGCTAGCCAAAACGCTGGAGGCCCTCCTTCCCCTCGAGGTGCCTCAGAAGAAAGGCCTGGTGACCTCCCTCCAGGGGAACCAGCCCTTGAAAACCGTATGGAGCACAGTTGTACTTTCCCATGAGTTGGGATTTTCCTTTTTTTTTTTTTAAACTACAGGCCAGATTGTCTCCTTAGAGCTGTGCGTGTGTGTGTGTGTGTGTGTGTGTGTGTGTGTGTGTGTGTGTGTGTAATCTTATAACTCTTAAACAGCTCTGTGGAGGTAGCTGTTACCCCCAACCTCCATTTGAAAGGTGATCAAACAGTCTCAGAAGGTGAACTGATTTGCCCAAGGGCACCCACTAGTGACAGACCTGAGAGTCAAACGTGAGTCCATCTGTTCCCAAGGCCTCTTTTGTAACGTGCCAACTCTCGGACTTCCAGCCACGTACCTGGAGAGGGAGCTGAATTCCCAAGGGAGCGAGGAGCCGGTTGGTCCAAGGGCCTGCCGTGATGACCAAGCTCTTGGCTTGGTAGCTCCTGGAAGTGGTTTTTACTGTGACTGGGAGCCCTGGGGTGATCTCCATCACCTTCTCTCCATCGTGCACCATGCCTCCCAGCTGCCGTACTGCATCCTGAAAGGGTAGGGAGGTGGAGAGGCAGATAAGCTACACCTGTGCTTCACCCTAAGGAGTCCTGGTGGGGCAGGGAGTTTACATACTGGGCTGCTCACCACGAAGTCGATGGTTCAAACCCACCAGCCACTCCTTGTGAGAAGGGTGAGGCTGTAAAGATTACAGTCCTGGGAACCCTTTACGGGGCAGTTTTACTCTGTTCTATGGATTTCTGTGAGTTGGAACCGACTTAATGGCAGTGGGCTTAGGCTTGGGCTTGGTGGATGGAGTCCCTCTCAGGGCAGCAACGAGAAACAAGCTCTAGTCCTCCTCTCCTCCTTCGAGAAGACCTAGCAGGGTGTGTGGGGCCCCTGGGTGGAACAATTGGTTAACATGCACAGCGGTTAACTGAAATGCTGGCTGGTCAAACCCACTGAGAGGGACCTCGTTAGAAAGCGATCTCCTGAAAAAGCAGCCATTGGGGAGCACCGTTCTACCTGCCACGCACGAGCTTCCATGAGTTGGAATCGACTCGACAGGGCCACAGCTGGTTTAGCAGCGTGGATCAAAGTGCCCTAAGGGTCAGGGCTGAGTCGACCAAGGCTCTCATAGGGTGGGGGCCCAGCACGGCTGATTGGAGCCCACATGCCCAGACCGGAGAGGCCCATTGCCCCTAATGCTGTGTATGGCACCTGGAGAGCTCGGAGGGCCTTGTCCGCATACAGCACTCCTCCAGACTTGTCCAAGAGCCCCGACTCTCCCCCGGACAACCGGATGTTGGGGAAGCGTTGCTTCAGTTCCTCCGACGGAAGATGCTGGTGCGCCACCCCGTGCTTCGACAGAGTGGCCTGGAAGGCCCGGAACTCTGGGTGCTCCTTCAGTCCCAGCAGCAGCAGTCCAGTCTCCCTGGGGGATAGGGAGAGCTGGGTGAGCACAGGAGCCCGGCTCCTGCCGTTTGTTCATACTCTTGCCTTAGCTTCTGCACCTTGGAAGTAGACCTTCAGTCCGTTTGATGGGATTTTTTTCCCCTCTTGCTCTTGCTCCATGCCCATCCACACTTTTCATCTCCATTAGCTATTCTTTCTCCTCCCCTCTCCACCCGCTGCGCATTTCCCCCACCCTCGTTGTTCAGGGGAGGTCAGGGTGTGTGTGGTTTCTTCCTGTGTGTCTAGCTCGGTCTCTCAGCGCCTTCTCAGAGGCTTGCCTCCTTTTGTGAGAAGAACCATGTGATGGATCAGATTGTCTCCTCCCCAGAGATACAGGGCCCCTTGCCCCCTGGCACCTGGCACCTGTGAATGTGACCTTGTTTGGAAATAGGACCTTTGAAGATGTTCTCGGTGCTGTTGCAGGAGGTTGCCCTGGAATAGGATGGGCCCTAACCATCTGAAAGGAGGGTATTTTTATCAAAGAAGGGAGCAGACACGGAGATGAACAGCAGCCAGGAGAGGGGTGAGGAATGCCTGGGTGACCAGAAGTTGGGAAGAAAACAAAACAAAACCTACCCTGGAACCTTCTGAAAGAACACGGCCCTCCCAATGCCCTGACTTTGGACAAGCCCCCAGAACAGCGAGAGGATCCAGTCCTGCTTCCAGAAGCTGCTGTCACGGAAATACCGCACGAGGATGGCTCTAGCAAACAGAACTGTATTCCCTCACCGTTTGGGAAGCTGAATTCAGGGCCCCAGCTTCCTCTCTGCCGGCTCTGGTGGGGGGGGGGGTCCTCGCCCTCAGCCTTCCTCTGGCTCTCGGAGTGTCCCCACGGACTGCCCTACTCCTGGCTCTTCTTTCTTAGTGGCACTCAGGCCCCTCATTCTGCTCACGTTCTTCTCCCTCAAAAGAGAAGAACTCAACATGCAACCCATCCCTTACCCTCATCACGGCCATCGAGTCCAGGCTGACTCATAGTGACCCGGATAGGACAGGGTAGAACTGCCCCTGTGAGTTTCCGAAACGGTAACTGCTGACGGGAGTAGAAAGGCCCGCCGTTCTCCTGCAGAGCTGCTGCTGGTGGGGTACACCCGATTTTGCAGATCGCAGCCCACCGCGCCCCCACTAGAGGTGAGGATTTACAACCTACAAGATGATCCTCAGACCACAGAACGGAGGATAACCGAGAATCGTGGGCAGGCCAAGTGGACATGTATTTGGAGAGGATGCGGTTCACGCTATCACCCCACTCAGCTTGTGGCCTTTTGCTCGGGCAGCCTGGGAAGCTAAGGGCAGCGGCAGTCACCTTGCAGGGCCAGAGCTCACAGCAGCCCTACGCAGAGCAGAGGGATACCTGGCCCGGCGCCTCCTTCGGGACGGATGGCGATCAGGCTGGGTTCTGTTGGGATCCATGGTTGTCACTGGCTAGTTTGGGGAAGCAAGTAGATCACCCAGGCTTCCTAGCCTGTCTTAGCCTGGAAGCTCCCAGGAACCCCATCTACCAAGGCTCACCCTGCTGGTATGGAAAATACAAGTAGCACAGCTTCCGATCTCAGGGCAATGCCGCCGTCGCCACCATTGAGATCTGGCTCTGGCTCTAGTCCTGGCTGTGTGACATCATTCTGGTCACCCACCCCTCAGGGCCCCAGCTTCGTCCTCCAGGACAAATGCCTAGTCAACTATCAGTGGTTCCACATGGGGCGGTGCTGTCCTCCCCCGAGGGGCACCGGAAATGTGTTGGGGGCCATTTTTCGGTTGTCGCAATACCTGAGGTTGCCACTCACATAGAGTGGGCAGAGCCAGGGAGCCTAAGCTGGCAACACTAAACAAAGAAACCGAACCCAAATGCCAATCACATGTCCAATATCACGCGTGCAGGGATCGACTGCATGGGGAAGATGAACTCAGGCGAATAACATCCGGCAGAGGCACAGGAACACTGTCTGGGGTCCCCCGGGCTCTGGCAATCAATGCAGTCATTCTGTGATTTTGTCTCCCCCGTGCCGCCTCCTTGTGCCTGTGCGATTCCTCTCCTTGGTCTGTGAAAGCTGTTGCTCTAGAATGCACCCCATCTCTCCGTCACAAGAGACCAGGGTTTCCTGGTGGGGCTGGGAGTCGGGGCCTAAGCGAAGCCTGGAAGGTCAAGCCTTGGGACCATCCCTGTGGCCTCTCTTGGCTTCAGCCACCGCAGTGACCAGCCGCAGTCTGGTACAGCCCCCAGGTACCGCATACAAAGCTCGTAATAGCCTATAATGGAGTCTCATGGATATTACATGCTTCCAAATCCCACATTATCTGGTTGGGGGGATTAAAGAGAAGATTGGGAGGAGGCAAGGACACAGTGGGCCCTGGGGCCGGTGTCAGTACACAGAGCCGCGCAGCGCGCCCAATCCATTTGCCATGGCCCCCGCCTACCCAGCATTCACCGCTGGTGAGATAGCAACACGAGCCTCCTGCTCTTCAAAGCTTGTCAGAGGAGAGACGCTGTAGCACTCCCCACATGACAGCCGACGGCCCTTTTTCTGTGGTCCGCACCCCGCCCCTCACCACCAAGAATATCAAACCGGTTCTCAGGTAATGAGAGCTTGTCTTAGCAAACTTCTTGATCAAGAGGAGCCTGCAGAAAGCACCAAGGCAGAATGTCCTTGAGTCGTTTTTGCCGAATGAGACCAGGCCTGAGAAAGACCTGACTTAACCCTCTCTCTCCCCTGGCAGACCTCACGTCAGACCCAGGGCCCACGAATGCCACAGAACAGCCCCAGCCCTGGCCCCTCGGACTCGCTGAGATTAGAGTTCCCCTCTCTCCCTTCATCCGTTTTTTGTTCCCTCCTTCCTGGAAATAAGAATTCCGCTTACGGGATTATACTGTATGTGGGGAGGAGGGGGTGGGGGTGGGGCGCACTCATGCCAAGACCACGGGCAGATCTGTCGAATTATGAAGTGCCGAGTGGTGTCCTAATTCCCCCGTCGTCCTGTGGCAGATGAAACGGGAGCTCCCAGCCCTGGGAGTAATCAGCGAGGTGAGTGTAATTGTGCCGATTGTAATCATTTTGCTCCAGCTCTCTGCCCCCGTGGCATTTATTTCTTAGCCCAGATATTGATCTAACAGTGGGGAAATTTCCATCTGAATTCGTGATGCTGGACCCTCCCCTGGTCCGGAGATGCGTGTGGGAAATTCTCATTTTCCGTGGATCACAGCTGAGCTATTTGGCCTGAGGGAAACCGCGCACTGCTGGAGAAATGCCTTGGATTGGAGAGAGATTTTTGACCATTAAGAGCAAATCGGAAATAAATGTAAAACACTGCCTGGAAATGCAAAGGCCGTCATTATGGGAGATAGGTGAGAGGCTCTGGTGGGAGATGCTTAGAGAATTGGAAATCAGTCAATCAAGACTGGGATCGGAGAACGGGTCTTTTCTCCCCAATATGAAGATAGATGACTTCCATGGGCAGATTGAAAATCATTTAAGTGCTGATTTTCTTAATGGCTTTTCTTAGATCCCAATAAACAGACTGCTCATCCTGCATCAATTTCTCCCCCCCACCCCCACCCCCCACCTCTGTGCTCGGGGCCTCCCTCTCCCCGTTTCCTGCTCAGATTAAGGCTACAACTTTGGGGCAGGAGAAGGCGAGGGCGTCAGGGACATCTGCAGGGAAGAAGAAAGCAGACTAGCCAGGAGAGGATTGGTCAGAGTGGGACCAGTAACGGAGGATGGAGACTCCCAGGGCTAGACAAGTAGGCAGCTCCCAACTCCCTGAATGCCTATCAGTGAGTAGAGAGCATTTCCTAAGCGCTCTGCCTTCTTCCCAAGCCTGGCTGCACCCGGCTCTAGGCGTAGGTCAGGGAAGATTCCTCCCCAAGGCCTTGCTGGCTTCTCCATAGCCCAGCTGAAGCCTCGGACATGACGGAGGTCAGGAAGCCAGGCCTGGATAGGAATCTGCATAGGCGTTGGCGGGCCGACCTGGTCATGGGTGAGCAGGCATTTCTACTAGTTTCTATAGCCGGACAGAGGGCAGGGTGGAGTGGGGAGGACAGGCTCCAGGCTTGCCCTCGGTTACAAGTCCCAGGCAGCATCAGCTCTCACAGTTACCTTGGGGACGGGGTTTGAACGGGGACCAGGTAATGGCTGCTGTCTTTGTTAGTTTGGGAGCAGCCCTGCGCGTTTCATCTTCCGCTCGGTGGGCCGAGGTGGAATTGGTTAACCAAGACTGCTCCAGGGAGGGGATGTGGCTGACAAGCCAGACACTGGCAGACACAGGAAGCAGCAGCTGCGGAGGGGGCCACCAGCTTCTGCCAGCAGCTGTACTGCCTACGGCTGTGATCTTGTCTGATCTTGTCAGCTACGCAGGGGCAGCCCGGGTCAGGAGCTAGATAGTAGGACTCAAAGGGAGAAGGCGGGGCGGGAAGGAGCCGGGCCACCGAGCTGGGATTTGCTGTCGGTGTCAGCGGCCTGGCAGTGCGCTCAGAAAAGCTTCAGACCTTGTGATCCCGCCCATGTGCCGCGGTTCCCAGCCTGTATGCAAATGTGCGGAGGCCACCCGTGTTTGGCAAGCAACTGTCACAGGCAGCAGCAGAACGGAAAAACACTAGACACCTGAACGCCCCACTCCTAAAGGATGATCGTGCCCCCCCCCC